TTGCTCTTCCAAATAAAACAACCACAGAACTTTTAGGATCATCAAAAACCTGTTTCCTATCACTACCAGGAGACACTGAAAGATTTAAATTCAACAGAATGTCTGAAACATAGACATTTTGAATGTGAATAATAAATATTTCCCAGTTGTATAACTAAAATAATTGTTTTGGGAATCAATAATAGAGATGACTATGGATTAATGGAGGTCACCAGCTATTCTTTGATCTCATGGGTAATGTTGAAGATGACAGCTACCATCTTTTCTCAGTGAATCTTCTGTTCAGATTGAGCTCACTAAACATTCTCCATTTCACAAGTGACATCAATAGATACCGAGGTTTCTTCATTAAGAAACTTCTAACTGCCAGTGAAGGGAGATGGAAACCATTTCTAAACTTTTAATGTTTTTAGAGTCTGAATTTCCCTGAGCCATTTGGAGAAGATCTAATCCAATTTGTGTTTTATTTATTTTAATTTATTGGCTTAATTGACATATACAAGATGTACGTATTTATTGGGTAAATAGTGATGTCTCAATACATTTATATGTATCAGATCAAATCAGGCTAATAAGTATACTCATCAAAGTTCATTCTGCTTGCCCCAAACAGAAGCCCCAAGCCTAGATTAAAGTGCCAAAAGTTGACGATGGGCTAGTTAAAGGTAAAGGCATGATGACAGGAAGAGGGATTAGAGCTGGGTTACATTTTGAAGCTGTGGTGGGAAGGTAGTCTGCTATTAATCAGAGGAACAAACAAGTCTGGGAATAGGAATCAGGAAATGGATTTTGAAAATGTTAAGTTTGCGGTAATGATAGATAAGTTAGTAGAGATATCAATCAAGGAGACACTTGTGCATTTCATTCTAGAATCCGAGAGAGAGGTAAGAGCAAGAGATAAGGAAGCCACATACCTCTGGCAAATAACACAGATAAGAACTAACACTGCTGACCAATCATCACACAATATTTAAAATACTTTACTTATATTTATTTATTTAATTTCCATAATAACCCTAAATTATTATACCAGTTGTACAGGCAAGAAAACTGTGACACACAGTAGGTGAAGCTGGAATTTGAATACTTAGCCTGGCCCCCAGAACTCACTACTTCAGAACTCTGAAAAATAGCGTGATGATAATCCAGGGGTAGATTAGGTGGAAGTAAGAGAGGCGTACATATGGCAGTTACCCAGAAACCGCTGCAGGTCCTGGGCTCTAATATCTGATTTTGAATTTAAAAAATAACCTTAAAAGTTTGACTATAATGACGGTTTTCTATTTTTTTTTTTTTCAAATGATAGAATAAGTAGGTACACCTTTTTGGCACTTGCTTCCAGAAAGATTACTGTGGAGGTGGGAACATTTGAACAAACAACTGTTGTTAAATCATATGCACTATGAAAAGACGGCTTGTTCCAAGAAATCTGGCTTTTACTATGTCAACACTTTTGAAAGATGTTTCAAATAAGAAAAAGGAGAAAAGCATGAATAGCATAAGTTTGCATCTCACAGTAGATTTCTGAGAACTGTGAAAGTTCAGGGCACAATCAAATGGGCAAACACTTCCTTCTCTTCCAAATCCCTTCATATTTTCCTTTATGTCATAAATTCTGTTACTTACTTATGCTAATATCTTTGTCATTCACAGCAGATAGAACACACTGTACTCATTCAATTCTTCTTATATCTGTTGAAGACCTATTGTACTTAGGAGCTACTTAAAAAGAGATTACAATTTAGCATGTAGTAAATATTCAATGCCTCAATAATCAAATTGATTAATAGTACAAACCATGTGATTAAGTGAATACACTGGTTATGCAGAACAAAGAGTCATAAGTCGTTTAAAAAGGGAGAGACCAGGTTAGGCCTTTTGACAAACGTACTGACTCTGGAGTCAGAAGATTCATTCATTTAAAAATGCTTATTGAGTGCTCAATCCATGTGGTGGGGTGATGTGTTAATTATGACAGATTAAAAAGTGAACAGAAGATATTTGTCCCCTTCTGTTGGTGCTCCCCTGACATCTACCAGCTGTGTGACTTAGTAAATAGCTTAGAGGACAGAGGGGATTTAACAAAAAGAGAGTAAAGACATTTCAGAATGGGAGTTAAAAACAAACCCTGTGTGTACACAAACAGGCTTGCCTTTATATATGTAAATGGAGCCAAGCCTGCTATAAATCTACCTATATCTGTATTTTTGTCTATATTTACATTTATGTATATCTACATCTATCTACCCATATCTCTATCCTATCTATCTATCTATCTATCTATAAGTCATCTATCTCTCGATCTACCCACCTATAGCTAAGGCTGTTGCAGGAATAGGTTTTTGGGAGAGGTAGTAAGTATAAGGGTTTGTAGGTCATGTTGTAAAGGGTCTTGAAGTTGATATGACAGAGACTGATCCTTAGTCTCCAGCAATCATTCTTATCCTCTGCGTCCTAATTAAAGACACACAAGTTTAGCTGGGCCGGGACCTTCCAGTGACAGACTATATCCCTCAGCTTCTCTTAACAGCAAGAGAGAACCAACCAGTTGGACCAACTGGATAGATAATAAATGATGCTAGCCACATCTTCTTAAAGATGAAGCTACTGATCCTTGACTTCTTCCTTTCTGCCTATAATTCTGATGAAAAAATGTGACAATTAGAGCAATCTTGGAAGCTGTATATTAATGATGGCCCCAAAGACTCACTCATATCTCCAAATATAAGTTGCTCATATCTGTACAATTTCTTGCATGACATGAATTCACATAGTGTGTAACTGTTTGATGTTGCCTTTTTCATTTACTATAACCCCCTGGAGATTCATTCAAGTTGTGTGTCTTATACTTCATTTCTCTTTATGGCTGAATGGCATTCCATGGTAAGATTAAATAGCTGGTTTAATCATTCACCCATCAAAGGACATCTGGGTTGTTCTCGCTTTTTGGCTATTGCTAACAAAGCAGCTATGAATGTATACAAGTATGCAATTAGGAACTTAATTCTAATGATTGAAGAGAGAAATTTTCATTTCTGTGAGATAAATGCCTGAGAGTGCAATTAGTGAGTTATATGCTAAGTATATGTTTAGTTTTTAAAGAAATTGTCACACAGTTTTCCAGAATGGTTGTATCGTTTTACAGCCCCATAGAGAAGTCCAAGTGATTCCGTTTCTCCATACTATTGCTAGTATTTTAACATTGCCACTATTTTTAATTTTGGTCATTTTTATAGCTATCTAGTAATCTTTCATTGCAGTTTTGAATTGCATTTCCAAAATAACTAACAATGTAAAATATCTATTCGTGTGCTTATTTTCCATCTGTATGCCCTCCTTGGTGAAATATAAGTACATATTTTTGTTGTTCATTTTTAATTTGTTTGCTACTCATAGTTTTCTGTTTACTTTGTTATATATGTTTTTAAACTGTTGAGTTTTAAAAATCCTTTGTCTACTCTAAAATATGGCTCCCCAAAAGAGGGGATAAACTCATGTGGTTTGGGCCATTTGGGTGGATTATAAATTATGGATGCCACTTCTAAGTCATCTTCTTAAGGACAAAGGAAGCAACTTACTTTTGACTTTCTCCCTCCCACCCCCATTAGGAAGTAGCCAGGTCTAAAACATCCTGATGTGACTCAGGGAATGGGAGATCTTATGTAAATTCGGTTCTCTCATTTTTCCTTTTATACCACTTTTAAAAGGTCACTTTAGAATTTAGATACATATTTCTCTCTGGCAAAAAATGAGAATGATAGGACAGGAGGAGTAAAGGATATACAATGGACACTCAACGAGTTTGTTAAGTAGAGTTGGGGGCAGAACTACAGTTTCACACAGCTCTTTACTCATCATTTACTGTGGTGCACAAATCCATACAATTAGAGACTTTCACTACCTAGCAATGGTATGGACAGTGAAATACAAGTCATTTCCACATCAAATGCTCCTCTAGAGAGTTCCTGTCTACTAGAGAGCATGGTCGCCAGGGTTTTCTATGACTAGATTTTACCCGTCATCCCTGTGCTACTTATTATTGAAATTATAATCAAGGCAGAGAAAATGGTGTGTCCCATCACAAACAGGCCATTCTTCATTGTTCCGGCCTTGTTTTTCTTTTAGATTAAATCATCTTTTAATTTTTTTCAGTCATATGACTTAGATGAAATTTCTCTCTGAATCACATACATTTCCATATTCCCTTTGACTTTAATATAAAATGATTCATAGATACCAAGTGAAGACTCCACCTGTAAAAGATGGAAAGAACATGATCCCTAGTGACAGCTTCTTACTTGTGCAATGTCATACAACTAAGTTCATGAACTCATCCTAGAAAAAGTGCTCCGTACCCCATGGCTGAGTAGTACTGCAGTTGCCTGTGAAATACTCCCCTTGTGAAGCTATGCTCCCATACCAACACCTAGTTCACCCTTCAAAGCACTTTTTGTAAAATGAGTTCTCAAGCTTAATTGTCAGAACCTGTACAATGATAGCTCTCAGGCCAGTCCAGAGAAGTAGTTCCAAAATTGCATAGGTCCTGGGTGTGGTCTCAAAATTTCAAATAACTAGTCAGTGTTAATGACTTAGAAGAAAATCTTGAAGTTAACAGTGAAAGATTTTTTTTTAAGAAAAGCTGATGACACCAATGCCCATGATGGCACAGAGAGTGATACTATTTGGGAAAATACACACATCAACTACTCTTAGTTAAAAGTTGATTCAGATCAATTGACTCTCACTCCTCTGAATTTTCTTTTTTATATATGATAACACTGATATATGAAAAATACATCTAAATAAGTATAAGTAGAAAATTAAAATTCTAAACAATAAAGAAACGTCATAGTTTGACAAATTTTTCATTCCTAAAGAAACATTCTGCTAAACAATTATAAACATAATTAATTTTAATTTATTCTTAGTTTCTCAGCTAGTTTTCTATAAGTGAAGTTATTATCCATTAATACTCTGATGTAAAAACCAAAATGTGCCCATTTTGATGAAGAAATCTAATCTTTATTTCTATGATGTTAGCACAATATACTCACACAATAGCTTTGATCTGTACTTAACAAAATACATTTATAGCACTTTACAAACTTTCTCAGTTTGGAAAACATTGCATAACATTTTATTAAACACAATACTTTATATATATATCATATATATATATTTTCATAATTTTATTTACTTTAAAAAGATAATTAACTCTCTTTATTCAATACTTGATTTTATCAATAAAGCATGGCCTAACAAAGAAAGAAGTGCTCCCATTAGCGAATAAGATAAATAGAATACTAAGAAGAGATACCACCTGTTAGTCTGATTTATTTTAAATTAAGGTACCAGTGGAATGTAAACAAATTTTTTGTTGTAATTTTTTTTTTTACAAAAGACGTGTTATCAAATATACATGCAGAGGTCTGAGTTCTAGTGTCTTATCATTATATTTCCTTAACAATGTGGTACAATTTGTTAAGTTATTAAAAACCGTAGCCTTTGGCACTTTGAGTAGAAAAAGAATATATCAATATTTATGTAAACAAAAGAAAAAACTTCAATGACTTGAGAAGTACTTTAAAATCTCGTCTTAAGAAATAGGAAAGATTAGGAAATACCAGACTGCACCTGAAATGCTGCAGCTTTTTTTTTTGTTCTTCAGAGTACTAAGACCAGCCCACCTTTCCCTCTGTGAACTGGCGCCAGCCACGAAGAGCGTCGTGATGGTGGTGGTGGTGGTGAGAAGTGGGGAAGGCAACATTTGACTCCCACTCCCCTCTCTGAGAAAGAAATTGCCAGGAGGGATCTGGTTGAGTCTGTATTTTATTGCCAGAGTTTTCAATTCTGCTGGTTTCAGCTGAATTCCTAAAACCTTAGGAAGTTGGTTTCTCTAGAAACCTTTGCCCTTTCCGTGTAGACATTGATAATGATGTGGTACCTCTTTTGTCTCTAAACAACTCCTGTTACTTTTATTTTCATTGCAAAGTGAACTCAAATCAGATCAACCAGTTCTGTTGTTTGCTTTAATTCCCTTGGCAATCATCAAGTGTACATTAGAAATGGCGTAGAAAAGATGGAATACTAAATGCTGAGAAGTGTATGTTTCTCATACTGGAAATTTTTAAGTTGGAAAAGACTTCAAAATGTTTTGTTTTTAATATTTTTACCAATGATACTGGCTTCCTCGCGTTTAGGCTCAAGGCTTGATTCAAGATAGGTAGCAAAAAGTGTCGTTTGCACGTGAAGCACCCCTATTCAGTTATTTTGAAGGAATACATTCTAATTTATAGCATGAGATACTTTTACCTATGAGTTTGTATTTTTTCCAGATTTTTCCTGTTGGTATCCAATTAACAAAAATATTTTGGGGGAGAGGGTCAAATCCAATTACTGTGGCTCTAATTTAAGGGTCATCGGGTGATCAACAAAATTAATGATCTGGAATCAAATACAACTTTTAGATTACTTGTTAAGGTCGCAACCTAAGCCAACGGGTTGGAGATACCTCAGGGTACACTTGACCAGCATTTCTGGTGATGTAACTCACAATGTCAAGTTTTGGCTCAGATTTCTCGTTCGTAAATTCACAGCTGTATGTTTTCCTCAAGGAATGCCAATCGGAATTTTCTCTTTTAAAACAGAAGAACATACCTATAACATCGAAAGAAATTTAAAACCAGGAAAGAAAGAGGAAGCCACAAAAAAAGCAAAAGATGATCACAACAATTTCAAAAGTTTCTCTAAAACAATATATTTTTAAAATTATGCAAATGTGTGCACTAAAAATTCATTAGCAGTACCTGTATTTAAATGAGAAGGAAGCAGCAGAAAAAACTATGCAGAGAAGTACTCCTTATTCCCTTTCTCTGAAAATACTCCTACACAATTTTTTTTTCCTGTTGAAAGAAAGCAGAATTTTGAAGAAATGCACAGAAACCTTTTTTATATTTTGACTGTTGACAGCCACTATGGAGAAGCTGGGGGGGTGTCCTGTTCTAACACAAAGCAGCCAGCATCTTCTTAATAAATTAGTATTTCTTTGACAAGGAATTGCACGTCACTATTTTCACAGCTAAGTAGAGAGTTTACATGGTATACGTACGCTAGTGATCAGCACCACCCGTATTGAGCTTTAGGTGCAGATTCTGCAAAATGAATATATAATTCTGCATGGCCTCTGCTGTAGGGAAAACCTGTGTGGGTCCGGGGTTCTCACAGCTAATTATAAAGAAAAGTCCCCATGGTTGGCACATTCAGGAAGTGAAACAGTACACATTGGAAGGAAACCGCTTTCTTTTGTTGCTGTCTTCCGCAAACCCTTTCGAGCTGGACCACACGTCTGAAGCAAACTCTTCGCATTACCCGGTGAGTTAGGTTCTTGCATTGTGCTTTTCCCTCCCCTGGATGTGAAATCTACAAGTTTAAGGGTAGTAGCTCCTCAGAGTTAAGAGTCCCGCGCTGTGCTGGACCGTCCCGTTGGGTGAGACTTCCCAGCCGCTGGAACAAGCTCGGGTAGAATCGACACGCTGTCTTTTGGGAGGAGCCCGATCGATGGGACGGTCGCCACTCAATCCTTATACGCCCGTGTGGGGGAGGTTCCTTTGTAGAAGATATTTCTAGTGTTTTCGGGGCTGTTGCTTCTTTCAGGGATTAAAATGATGTTGCCCTTTCTCCGCAGGGTGGAGTCGCGGGAAGAGGAGACCGACAGCGTCTCGGAGCCGATTTCGCTGCCCTCCACCGGGGTGACGCGGATGGTGGTGATTCCGTGGTGGTGGTGCTCGTTACTATCGATGTTGCTTCTCTTGCGATCTCCAGAACCAAAGCTGTCTTTCAGGGACTCACAGCTCTCCGAGTCCCTGTTGAGATCGTTGAGCTCGTACGTCTGGCGCAGGCTGCTCTTTTCCGGGGCTTTCCACTTCCAGGAGCCGCTGCCCTCGCCTTCGGTGGACGGGATCTGGATGACCGGCCTGTTGTTCTCGGGGTGGGCCTCGACCCTCACGATGCCGCTGGGCTCGTGGTCCGTCAGCGTTTTGTAGCGGATGGAGCCGGTGCAGGAGACCGTGCTGCCTTCCGTGTTCTTGGGGCTGCTCTGCAGGACGCCCTGCTGCTTGGACATGGCTATGACTTGCATGATCCGGGGCTGGCTGTTGCTTCGGTTACAGGCCACGGTCTTCTCGGCCGCTTTCAACCACTTGGCCCGGGCAGAGCTGCTTTTGGGGGAGGTGCTGATGTTTTCCTGGGTCTCCTCGGGGATGTGCACCAGCTGCGAGGACCCAGGGCGGGACTGAATGGACACCCGTGGCCCCCCGGGCATGCTGTTGTTGCACCCAGGGACCGAGCTGGGCTGGATCTTGAGGTACTGGTTCCCGGGCCCGTGGTGGTCTCCGTTCACTCCCACCCTCGGCTCCGAGCTGGACCTCATTTCTATGGATCTGGGCGGTGACTGTCCGGGCTCAGTCTCTATAACCTGCAGGGACAGCTTACGGCTTTCGTTCTTATTCTTCCACTGGGTGAGGAGCTGCTTGGAGCGAGCGGAATCCATGGACGCGTGAATGCTCGCGTTCCTTCTCACCGGGTCCTCCACGGACGGGGTGTTGGCTCTGGGCAGGGTGTTGCTGAAGGTCACCATGTTCTCCTTCCCCATGGGGCTCCGCGGGGTGATGATCTCCACGTCGGCGTTGGCCCTTTTGAGCGAGCTGGCGTCGCGGGGGTGGCGGTTGAGGATGCCTTCCGTGTGCGCGATCCCGTCGCTGCTGCTGCCGTTCTTCGCAGATAATACTCGGTTGGGGTCTTGATTGAGGTCCGTCAGCGATCTGAGGGCTTCTCTGTGCTGGAACATACTCTCTTCACTCGGTAGGAAATTCCCCACAGCATACAGGCCCTGGTGTTCAAGAGAAAACCATAATATCATGTCCCGGAAGACACAGGTACTAAGAATTTCCCTTAGGGTACGCCCTGGAGTACATATGGATAGATCAGTGTGCGTTCCCTATGCAACACTGATTAATTCAAACGACAGCAACAACAAAGCTACAATTATGTGGGGAAATGACTTGTAAGTTGTATCATACATCGCTGCCCTAAAAGGCTCAGAAATCCACTGTATGTTTTGAAAAGAAAAGACAGACAATGCAAGCAACCAGGACATTTTTCTGCTTTTCAAAGCTAGTCACTTTTCTGGATTTAAGAACTTCTTGTGACTGGCATCTCAAATGGCTTAAATGATTTATGTTACCTTCCATTTTCAATCATACTTTATGATGGAAAGCAGAAGAGGTGCGGAAAATATACAACAGTAGATGACTCATAAATCAGGATATCAGGTTTTGAAATGAGGTCGGAAACAGACATGGTTACAAGTTACACTGAGGACAACCTGTGCGTTCAGCTCCCTACAGGGCGCTCCTGGAAGAGACAGCAGAAACCATCACCAGCCTGGAGCACCCCTATTCCTTTGTTATTTAAACTTGGCCTTGAATTGGGAAATCCTATATGATTAATTTGGTATCATTGTACTAAATTTGAGCTAAATTTTATTTATTCTTTTCTTCATAGTCTATCAATTTTTTGTTTGTTTTACACGAGAGGCCAAAGTTTGGAAAAGGCCAAAGTTTAGTTAGACTCAAAATTATTACCATTTGGACACAAGGTAGATCTAATCCCTGTTGGATTTTCAGGTTTTTAGATACTGGTTTAGTAATAAGATCGATCAAACAGATACTTATAGCATACCTTTACTGGGCTAATTTAAAAAGAAAGTACCTACTGTCTACTTTTCAAGTCAGAACAAAGAAATATTAGCGATGCAATATCTTATAGAATGGTTAACGGTAAACAACAAAATTGGCTCAGAATCGATAATTTTCCAGTTTTAGAGCATAGAGTACGAACAGGAATGGAACCAAATCAAGCTCTTGCCTGCCCAGCTATTTTAATTCCTGGTTAAATTGTTCTTTTAAGTACTATTTATCTATGCTCTGACCACTAGAATTCACCAGAATGAACAGCCTTACCTAATGTCCTGTTAACGATTGTACTTAAATTTGTAAGTTTGGGAAAATCCTCCACTATCCTGTAAGCTCTGATTGCGTATTGACTGTGAGCCCTGGGATATAAAGGTATAGTCACGTGTTGCTTAATGACAAAGCCACATTCTGAGAAATGTGTCCATAGGTGATTTGTCATGCAAGCATCAGAGCGTAGTTACACAAATCTAGATGGGGGAGCCGACTACACACCCAGCCTACGTGCAGTAGCCTATTGCTCCTGGGCTACAAACCTGTACAGCAGGTTACCGTACGGACTATGTAGGCAACTGTAACACAATGGTATTTGTATGTCTAAACACAGAAAACTTACAGTAAAAATACAGTAGCATAACCTTATGAGACCATCATCATATACGTGGCCCCTCATGGACTGAAACGTCATTATGCCACGCAAGACTGTGGTTGTTTAATGTTTATTAGGACAGGAGGCATGTAGTCGTTGCCCTTATTTTATAGGTGAAGAAACGTGCTTCACCAAGCCTGTGTAACTGGGCCGAAAGGCAGAAAATTTGCCCCAAATCCTTTGAACTGTAAAGCTTGTGTGAATTCTAGGATACTACGATATTACACATGTGCAAAGACAATGCATGGATGAGAGAGGGGCAGTCTCAGTCTTTATTTCTTCTGTAACACGTGTTGGCAGTCGACACACCCATGAGCAACATGGGCTTACGGACGAGTCCTGGCACACTCATTTTAATTTGATCCCTTTCCCGTCCACTAACAAAAACAGGTAAGAATGAGATTTAAAGCAACAATTCTGACTAGGTTAGTTCACAAAAATGAAAAAGTTTATAAAATCGTGGCACACGTAAGCACTTTCACTATATTTTTGTAATCATTTTCTTGTAATACCTTTCCCACATGCTCCGCGATGACGATTAAGAACTGTGGCTATCGCTAATCAATTTTTATTTCTCTCTCAGCTCCTCTCAGTTTTCCTCATTGCCTTTTCCTCTACATGTTACTTGTATGTTAGTATTTTGTGGCTCCTTTTTATTCTTAAGATCTGACAATTTTCTAGACCCCAAAGAACTACAGTGATACTTCTGCTGTAATGACCCTGACCTCCAAACTTATTTCTCCAGTACTGATTGCTCTTTTGAAATCCACACACACACACACATTTCTAACTGTTTATTGATTCAGTTGAGTTCCTGAACTTCCTTCCCTCTGCACCAACCTGCTGCTGTTGTCTGAAGTCAACATCTGTCCATTCTGCCAAGCTAGCAAGCTGCCTGTTGGCTCTCATTCTCCCTGCTCTCTCACCTGCCACTAATATTTGCTCTCACACATGTCCATCTCTTTGTCATTTCTTTCTCTTGAAGGCCCTTGCTCCTTTCCTGACCCTAAGAAACTCAGTTTTTAAAAAAACACATGACTTCGTGCAGGCTTTTCTAACTTCCTTAGGCAGTGTGCTGTTCCTAATGCACTTTGTTCCTGCCTTATGAGATCATGTAACATAATGAAATCATTTATATTTATGTCATTGTTTACATTCAAAACTTCTAAAGAATATGTTTTTTTCCTCACAGTTTTAATGTTTAGTCTAGTGCCTGTCACAGATTAGATATTGAATAAATGTAAAATGAATGAATGAATGAATGAATGCGTAACTGAATTAAATGGACAATCTCAGTTTCCTTATGTTGGGGGACTATTTCCCTTAGAGGAAGATCAGGTTTGAAAATACTGTTACAGAATTCAGTATTAGTTGGATCATAGTTACATTTACGTGCTGAGTTTGTGTTGCTGAGAGTTATATAACCTTTCCTTAAAGCTTTACTTTCACTAACCTTATTGTCACTAATATTCATCTTCTTTTGTGTGATTATAATTAGTAATACCTGCTCTGTCCCATTTGGTGGCATAAGATAAAAAGCAACAGTCCTTCTAAAATCACAATTTCTGGCCCATAGTAAAAGTTCAGTAAACTATTTTATTGAAAGTGGGATATGTGCTCTGTCTTAGAATGGAGATGCAGCCAGAGATTGTTGCATGAATATGAAATGTATTTCAAGTAACTTATGATAGTGCAAAATAGTCTTTGCATGTCTGCCATTTTAAACTGGGGTTTGTCAAAAAATAATAATAAATTATTTACCAAGTACAGTGCAATTCCTCCTCCTATTAAAAAGCCACAATAGACATCAACGGGGTGGTTCTTATACTGAGTTATCCGTGTTAGCCCACAGATGATTCCACAGATGATAAATGTGAAGACCAAGAGAGGTTTCAGAAGCTTAGAGGAATCCGTTAATGTGGAATTGAAGTACATCTTAAAAATGAAAGAAGGGGGTTAAGTATGTTAGAAAGGCCATTTTATTAGTAAATTATAATCAAATAAAACTTTAAACTCAAAGTTCTAACTGGTACACTTGATATCAATTTTCCTGCTCCATTTCCCTGCTATGGCTGTATTCTCTATCTGCCAAGAAAGGAAACGCATAAAAATATCATCAAATAAATAACACATCTCTCATTTAATTACATGAAAACTTAAAGAAATGAAGCAGTAGAATTAGTTGTTTAATTTTTTAATCTCCATGTAACTTGTCACATAATTTCAGGACATCTTTCTCCCCAAAGACTTCAGGGACCACTGTATCCATTAGACACAATGACTATTCATTCTGTAACACTGATCAAATTTACACTGACCTGGAGTTTATCATTGTTACTTAAATACTGAGAGTTGTATGTGTGAGAGTGTGGGCATAATACCATTCTTTCAGTTTTAGTAACATTCTCACCATTCACAGTACTTTCTCAGAAAGTATAATTAAAGGGCTAGCTGGCTAAACAAATATGATTACAATTGAGTAGAAAAATCCTTTCACTGTATTACTTTTATAGTAGTATATGATTTCTGCTTTGAATCCCCTGTATTGAAGGGCTGCAGTGCTCCAGTTTATCATTCTGTTATTATACAGATCTGGATTAGTCATCTAGAGACAACACTTAACTCCTCTGATATTCGTAGAACATAACTCAACAAAGAAGAGCCAGTTACTTACCGAAACATACACAGCTGCAAAGGCAGCGAGCGTCGCATGTTGAGAAGGGAATGACTTTCTGCCAAAGGAAGACAGTCAAATTATGCCTTTAAGTTCAGATACAGCACCAGCAATCATCTCAAGAACACTGGCTGGTTAAAACGTTCAATATAGAAGCCACAGGGCAATAAGCAATAACTTTAATTTCTGTTTAGTTTTCTGGGGAAGGCCTGAGTGGGGAAATAAACACTGCTAATCACCATTAATATTAACAAATACAAAATAGTGATGTGTGTTCTGATAGAAATAACTGCTACCTTGGCAAGGGACCACCACGATACACTTTTGGAATGAGGGGTGAAAGTAGAAAGCATTTCTGTTGTTCTTCCATATCAGAGCCATGTATTGTCAGCTCAAAGCAAAAGTTTATGAAACCCAGGGTTTAGTGGCTTTAAACTTTTTCTATGCTCCTAAAGATATGGTTTTATTTGCATGAAAATTTTAAAAGGTGAATTATTTTATCACAGTAGTGGATCTAAGTGTTTTTTTTTTATACTCTAGAAAGCATAAGAAAAGCCCAGTTTTAATCAAGATGTTTCTTTGTATATTCTACTTGACAATAATTGTCATCTTAAGAATCACAGATCTGCCATTTGATCCTATAGTTCCTCTACTATCCAGAAGACCAAAAATCACATTCTAACAAAAATACATGTACCAGAATATTTATTGCAGCCCAATTCATAATTGCCAAGTCATGGAAGAAGCCCAAGTGCCCATAGACCCATGAATGGATCAAATAATTGTGGTATATGAACAACATGGAATATTATGCAGTATTATGCATTTAATATTATAATATTAAAGAAAGATGGAGATTTTACCTCCTATATGTTTACATGGATGGAGCTGGAACATATTCTTCTTAGAAAAGTAGTTCAAGAATGGAAGAAAAAGTATCCAATGTACTCAGTATTACTATGAAACCAATTTATAGCTTTCTTATGAAAGTTGTAACCCAATTATAGCCCAAGAGAAGGAGAAAAGGGAGAAGGAGGGGAGGGGAGGCAGGAGGATGGGAGGAGGGAGAGTAATTGATGGGACCACACCTGTGGTGTATCTTACAAGGGTACATGTGAAATTTACTATGTGTAGAATATAAATGTCTTAACACAATAATAACTAAGAAAATGCCATGAAGGCTATGTTGACCAGTTTGATGAAAACATTTCAAATGGTATATAAAACCAGCACATTGTACCCCATGATTGCATTAATGTACACAGGTATGATTTAAGAAAAATAAAATAAAATAAAATAAAAAGAATCACAGATAACATTGTTTAAACAATTTAAGATGTGGGAAGAAGAGGTGGAATGCAGGGTAGTGGAAGGACAGTCAAAAGAAGAATAGCAATTTCCTTCTATGGATTAAAAAAATAGGAAAAATAAAGTTCACTTATATTAGTGCTCTCCCAATTTTCTGGCACCCTAAAGAAGATTGCCATGCAACAAAGATAACAGGATTGAGAAAGAATAGAGGACATAGTTCTGGAACGTAGGTCCAAATTAATGAATAGTTTGTGAGAACTTGACTGTGTCTAATCACATAATATCAGGCTCTGGTTTTTCAGGTGTAGCTCTTAACTTATTTTTGGCTCTTTAATCATCTTTGGGAACCAATTGAAGGGCATATCCATTTTTTATAATAATGACTTCTGGGCCCTTATCCATCTGTAATTTATTCCTTTTGAGATTTTAAAATACAATCTTTTTCATGCAAATTTATTTTTACTTGATTGATTTAAAACATTTATAACATTGGTAGTTTCCTGAATTTATTTTCTAAACTGTAAGGTCAGAGGCTGTATAGATCTTTTGTGTTCATTCAAAGAAAACATATGTAGTCCTAGGTGTTACCCCTTCTCAAATTCTGCCAGAAGGAAAATTCACATGGTTCTTTTGATAAAACATAACTAGAGATAGAGCTGTAACTATCATAGATGCTTAGTCTCCCACTTAAGCCAATACAAAACATACTTGTATATCGACTGTCAGTCATGACTGGTTATAAATATCCAAAATAAACCAAGTCTAGTAACCTAAAATCATAATTAGTATAGAGCAGATTGCAAAATATGAGTGGATTTTGGTGATATAAGGACAAGTGGCAAGATTGAGGCTGAGGCTGAGACTGAGGTTGAAATTTAAAGACAGAAAGAAGATTTTGGAATGAGCCACCAATAGGTTTCTATGATACAGTCACAGAAAAGGTTACTGAATTGAAAGGAAAAATAAAACCAAAATTATGACAGAACAGGCATATGTCAAAGGGGGCCCCCAGCAATTACTGAATAATGAAAACACCAAGCTAGAATGTTTTTAGATCTCAGTGTCTAACCTGCCGCTGTTGATAACAGTAAGGTCAGATCCTGAGCAAATATCTTCCATAATGTAGGAATTTTCTTTGCAAGATACATTCAGAGAGGTATAGTTTGGTTTGCACACAGTCAGAAAGTATGGTGCCTGATATCCTGTGGACAGTTGTATGATGTCTGTAATGAGAGCTGTAGAGCAGAGTCCAAATACGTGAACACCTATAAACAGAATGGAAGAAATTGTTACCACGTCGATGGTTAATGCTGATGTTGAGTCAACAGCAAATATGTTTATTACATGTTAACATGACAATATTGAAATTTATTGTGATATCTTCTCTAAGTTCATTTTGGGAAGATAGTATAGAAAATTACTAAACTTCTAAACAGGTACTTGGAACCAAAATAAGGTCAATGAATATCTCCAAGGTCGTAATTTGAGGCTCCTTCGTCAGTTTGGTTAAATAGGGCCAATTCTTAACATTGTAAGTATAGGTCACTTGTAGGACATTGGGAATATTTTCAGTGACCAACTATGTGATTTGAGAGGGATTAAATATGGGGAATGAGGCTGAATTGAAAGTGACTTTAAATTGCTTAACATGTTTAAGTTGTCAGTGCTCTCTCTCCTGGATGGTCTCTAACTTTAGCCACAATTGCCAAAGTCTACAGAATCCATTTTAATTCCCTACAAACTGAAGTCAGTTGTACTAGGAATGCTAATTAAAACAGAGAGGAGGGTAGGCAGGGCCTGTTATGGAAACAACAATCATATCCTGGGAGCCTGCCTATGGGCTTGGAACTGGGAGATGTTCTTATATCCCTTGATTCAAATTCTTTCTTTTTTTCTTTTGTATCCAAAAAGTCACAACTCTAGATATACACTTGTGCACATGAACTCCACGTCTGCTGGAAGTTGCTAGGTTGGCTTTACCATTGAGAGGCTAGCTCTCGGCTCACATGGTCTGGAACTTGCCTGCACTTTCCAGCTTGTCTTGACACCCTAGATTCATTCTGACTAGATGGCCTGAATTCTGAGTCATATTTTGCACATAGAAATAATTATGAAAGGCACCTGAATAGTTCTGTAACAGACACCTGAAGACCCAGAGTTGGGGCTTGCGTGCCTTACTGTTCGCATTTTTCTTCTCTGTCTACTGTCGCCTAATCACCACTCCCCTAATTCCGTCTCCATCCACACACCTGTGATTCACGGCACAAAAATTTTATTTCTATATCTTGATCCCTAGAAGCATGTGAGGTCTTGGACAAGACTTTGAATAAAAAAGGAAAGCCACCTACTTTTACCTTGGGAAAAGGAGAATCTCTGGCCCTACAGAAGATGGGGTTATAGACAGCTGACTCTGAAACATTGTTCTCTAGCGTAGGATAGATAATTCTTCCAGGCATGAGCTATTTCAGAGAGGGTACATTCCCCTTGGTCAACCGCATTTTATTACATTAGGGGGAACTTTCTCTGAGATTAGCTACATATTCTGGAGTTTCATTTCCTTGCTTCAGTCTGTGATCCAGCTAACTGGCCTGTTGTGATGATAAGAAAATGCTGGTGAAGCAGCGTCTGGGGCATGATTTTCATCCAATTTTTCCTCTCGTTGGAGAGAAAGTTGGCCTTATCCTTGGGAGTCTAGCTGTCTGCTCACTATATATGTTTCTATAATTAGGTGATAGATAATTATCTACTAGGTATTTAATGAAGCTGTCTATATTTTTAAGGTGACATGTTATAGGTAAAAATAATTTTATAGTGACTTCTTGGGGATAAATATAAAACATTCAGGTTGGTGTGACATATTGTGGGTGACTATTCCACTCAGTGAAAAGAAAAAGCCTGTGACTCAAACAACATAAGGATAGTCCCATGTTAGTCAGAAGAGATGAATTTTCAGAAACTGATTTGATTCAGATGCTGTTTAGCCAGGCCTAGAGATTTTCTCTAGAACTCATAAAAAATAGGAGGTGAAGTTAGAGGCTATCGTCAAGGAAAAATAGCCACTGGCAAAATGGTGACATTTCTATGTATGATAACTTTTGGATGAGAATCCTCTAGGACAGCAGTTCTCAACCTCTGGGTCGTGACCCACAGGAACTGTATTCGAGGAAGGTTGAGAACCACTGCTCTAGGACAATGGAATTATTAATGTGACTTAAGTAATTTTTTGAAAGTTATATATTCATATTTGCCTTTTAATATTTATTCTCCATTTAAAAAAACTGAACACAGATCCAGTGAAACCATTTCAAAGTAAATTCATACCTCAACCATATATATATATGTGTGTGTGTGTGTCTGTGCATATGTACTGAAACTCATGGCATGTTAACCCTCAAAACGAGGGCCATATCTGTAAAGAACACATTTCATATACAAAGCCCAGATTTGGTGTTTTAACAGTTTTCTTGTGGAATGTGAAACTCCTGTACTGAAATTATACATCTAAATTATAGCGTTAGAGACCTAATATCTGTAATTAAATATAACAGTTCTATTTGAAGCAACATTTCCTTTCTTTGCAGTTCTCCACACCTACCAACAAATCTGACAGCTCTTCGAAGGAAAGAGTTGAAGTTGCAGCCTCCAGCATTAATGTTTGGCTCCAGTCCAACTCCATTTCTTCTTTTGGACAGACAACAGTAGAGAATTCCTTCTCCTACCATAATCTGCAAAGACAAAAGGGTGTTCAGGCAAAACTCTTGGTACATCCATTCTATCAGCAGGTATAAAGAATCATATGTCCTCTCTTAACACATCATCAATCAACGAAGATGTGTTACTCTAAAATGCTCTGGGGGGAAGCCATTTCTCTTGAGTATTGGCGCAAGCTGTGAGAAGTGATTAATCAGGGCACTGAGTTAGCTGGATCTTCTGGACTCCTGGGTACTGGTTAATTAGGTCAATAAACCAATTTTGGATTGAATAGAAGGATGGACCCATGGAAAGCGTGTGAGTGTAAGAAGGTGTTATCTAGAGCACAGCCTCCCCAGGAATCTTTCCGTGATAATGGGACTACGTTGTGCACCGTCCAGTACGGTAGCCGCGACCGAGCCCTTGAAATGAAGCTACTACAAATGAGGAGCTGAGTTTTTAATCTTATTTCATTGTCCTAATTATTTACAAATTAAATAAAATTAAACTTAACATGAAGTAGGCACATGTGGTTAGTGGCTATCCTATTGGAGAATGCAGATTACAAGCGAATTTAGGTCAGCAGGGCAGTATTTCCTAGGTAGAGATAGTTAGCCAATGTGTTCACCAGAGACAACCGCATGTACCATCAGAAGGACCATTTGAAGGAACAGTGCACTTTGCTGAAGGATTTAGGACACACGAGATCAGTGAAGGAACTCAGTAATTTTTAGGCATCATTTCCTTCAGCAAATTCTCATTGAACCCTCTCCCCGGACCCTGAATTGATCATGTCTCCTACGTGGCTTCCTGCCCTTCCCTCCAGCATAGTTTTGTTAAATTGTTTATTTGATTGTCTCTCACTAGACCAGGACCCTCTGAAAGAAGAGCGATCATTTATTTACCTTTTATCCTCACCATGTAGCACCATTCTGGGCACGATGGAGTTTGTGTTTTTGGCCTTTCCTGTGGGAATTAAAATTTGCTAACTCCTTCAGGCATTTGGGTTGTCTGTTATGCAATATGTGGAAAAGTAAGATTTGAAATTATATGTTTTATTTATGCAACCAGCTTTCAAATATTTCAGATTATTGTGCCTACAAGACTGTTGTAAAATTGGTTATTTGTTTGTATATATTTGTTCGTATAAATTTATGGGGCTGAGAAAAGTAGGGCTCCATGAGATCCTAACAGTCCCTCAGATGTGGGGGATTCTGTGACTGTAAGGATTATAAGCATGGCAAGGGCTAAAGGAGATTATCTAAGGGAAACCTCCCAGCTCTCATTACTACCTTAACATGTATCTTATGAAGTCTTCAAAATTACAGTGCGACATTTCTAAAAAACTAATGACACCAAGCATGTGGTCTTCTGTTTTGAATATTGAACTTGCTATATTAAGTTCAGTAGATAATATGATATATGTACAATTATAAAGAATATTTAATCTGTATAGAAATATAAAAAATAATTCTCCTAATGGACTCTACCTATACATGCAAAAAGTATGTGGCATGATAAACTCTTGTAAGATTGATCATTATAGAAATAATCAAAAGGAATTTATTTCAAATTACTGAACATCGAGTTAACCTTTTATATTTGAAAAATATCATCCCACACTTAGCGCTTCAAATTAGACTTGGAAATATAAAAAGATGCCATACCATGTGTAGACAAACGTGACAATACAATACTTCCCCAGAATAATATCATGGATATTTCAGATTAATTATTTCTAGAAAATCAACCACTTATTCCTGAAATGCATTTTTGTAGAACCAAAAGACAGTGAATTCATCTTCACTTCTTCATAATTCTGTGAATAATTTTGTTTTATCTTTTCAATTATATGGTTAATGATTCACATCTTGCCCTTGAGTATTAAATTATATAAAAATTTGTTTGTACAACTTATTTATGAGGGAAATGGGTCATACAACACCACACTCATTATCTCAAATGACCTTGACATTTAAGGAGTTTTATTTTGGTTATTTTAATATGCTTAAAACTGCAATGCGTGTATCAACACTACTTGGCTTCATTATGTACCATGAAGAGAGATTTTTTGCCATTATTTTGACATCACTCAACTCTCCCACTAAGGAGCCCATTAATTTTCTCCTTATACTTCTTTTCACTTAACCTCAATTTATATGTCATTGCATGAATTTTCAAAATGATTCACTTTGGCTTAAAGATAGAATCCTCCTCGGGGTAAGGGGTGATACTTCCTGATGTATTTCCAAATGTTCCCACTTACTTCCTCTTCTGAAGGAAATTGCCATATTGCTATATTGCAATATGGAGCCAAGGTTTAGGTTTTAACAATAAAATTATTTGTTGCTGTTACCATTTATAAATAGAAAATAGTTTAGGATGAATCTCTGTTTGGTGTTGTACCCAACCTTGAAAAGACCCAGTACCTTGTGTGTATGTGTGTGTCTAAAATCAGGGATGGGTTTGGGGAAGAGATAATTTAATGATTCCATTTCCGGGCAATTGTTGAGAGGAAATAGATTGCTTTTAGAATTGTCAACACAGGCAGAACTTACAATTCAAAAACTCTTTCTTATAAAATAAAACAAAACAAAAAGATTATAACATTCATCACAGCATCCTCAACTTTTAAATTTCCAATGAATTCTGGAAGCCCTACATTTAATATTCTTAATGCTGATTGTGTAGTCTCCTAAAGCTAAGGCTACCTGCTAGGAACTATAATTGAATTCTGATAGAACTCTCCTATAAAATGAGGTGTATTCATCCTTTAATACACATATGCAATAAAATTTTCTTTCCAGAGAAGAGAAACCATATTTTTTTTTCTGTTCACATAGCCATTATGAAGATTTGTGATAAACACATATATTTTGTGCTTTTTCTCTGAGAAATGATCGCCAAAGGACCTAAACAAAATGCCTGTCTTACCACTCTAAAGTAAATGAAAACTGAACACTAAGGAAGAAATATTACAATTTAAGGGCAATTTCAGAGAAATAAGAATATGCCTTGCACAGATTGAAAGGCATTTTTCCAGTTTCATGTTCAGCATCACGAAGACAAGTTATTTTTAAACATTTCTCAAAGCAGAAAAATATCTGAGAAGCAAATACTAAATGATTCACATTTAAATTCCTATATAAAAAATAAATTGTTTTTCCTTTTATTCACATGCAGGCCCTTTTGGAGAATATTACTGATTGTGAGATCTTATGTTTTGCTTTATCTGTAACAAATAGGAAACTCCTCTTAACACAAGTCCACCGGGCATTGTGGCAGGCCCCTGTGTCCCAGCTCCTCAGGAGGGTGAGGCAAGAGAATGACGGGAACCCAGGAGTTTGAGGTTGCTGTGAGCTTGATGCCATGGCACTCTACCCAGGGTGACACAGTTAAACTCTGTCTCAAAAAAAAAAAAAAATAGAAAAAGGAATAAAAGCTGTTTCCAAGTAAAGGATTCTTTTTGCTTCCCTATCTCTTTACCACTCTATTTTTGGAATGGATTTGTTCCACCATAAAGATAAAAAAGAAAATGACCTCCTTGAAAGTGAGAGATTAAGTCTGTTATTTTCATCATTAGGAAGAGGTAGAAAAGAAGTTAGACGGGTAATATGTGTGGTAAGATTAGAGACAGAATGATGGTCTAGATTAACAACATGACAACAGACATAAGATCACTGTTGAGAAAATATATGTATTGGGAGAAGCCATTAAACACATAGGGAAAAATCAAATTAGACCCAAAACGAGAAGAAGTGGAGTATATTTTTAGAGAAAAAAGGTGTAAAAAAACCATTATTTAATGTCAGCAAAGACCAGATTTGTCTTACCATGGAGTTCTTTCCCCAAGTTCTATGGAACTAGTCAGAGAAGAATTGCTGATATCCAGAGCATCCTGGTGTGATATGGGGAAATTAGGGACTCTAAGATACAGATAGTTGCCTAGTCTGCCTCCCCCGTGATTAAGAGGAACGCATCAGCTGTGGAAGTCCTGTGGCGACCTGGGCTTGGAGCAGGGCTCCACTGAAGGAGCTGCCATTGAGCTGCCCAGGTCAGCTCTGTACAGGGGAACCCTGGTGGATTTCCCTTTTTCATTAATCAGGGCTGGAGAAAAAAAAAAGCTTCAATCCCAAATCCTCTAGAAAGCATCCCTACATTGCACATTGAGAATGTATTATGGTGAGGGAGTCAACAGAAGCTTTAACACAGTGACAAGGCCAAGGTCATCGTCCCCAGGATGTGTAACAGTGTCAGCAAAGGAAGCAAGCATCCTGTGATGAAATAGTGCTGGCGGGAGTGCCACAGTTAAATTTGCTTTCCTAGCAACTTTATAAAATATTCTAGGGAAGGAAAACTTCTTGATATACAAAGAGCAAATTATTTAAATACATGATTAAATATCAACACAGTCTGTTCAGCACTCATGAATATTTGTGTCATAGTTTTTATGGATTTTTTTTTTGAAAATGGTAATTGTAATAATTTGGGGCACATCCCCTAATTAGGATAAATGCTTTCTGGCGTGATAGATTTAAAGCCTACGTTCTTTCTGCTCTGGTCAAGTAACTGGATGGTATGGATTCTTGTCATAATTCTTTAGAAGAGTGAGAGGAAAATGCTGTTTTTCTAAGTGATATTGCACTTTAAAACGTTTTATTCATCTCAGGGCCTCAGCTACTTCCAAGTATATCATTAATAGTTCTAATCATCTGGGAGTCACTGCAGAATAACTCATTAATTTACAAAGTGTTCTGAGACCTTTTAAATATAATAAAGTTCTATGGGAAATGAAGTTCCAATTTTATCTTCTGAGAATATTTTATATAATTTATTTGTAGTGTAAATAGCATGCTATGATTATTTAATATAAGGGAGGGGAATTTTTTTTTTTTAAAATCCAGAGCTATATAAAAGGATAGAGTTTAGAAGATCTACTCAGAGGCTTTTCTGAAACTGAACCCAAATAGGCCAATTCATCACAATATCTTGTAAAAACTCCATTGAAATATATATTTGAATTTAGTAACCATTTCTTTTGACATTCATGAGCATAATAAAAGCAAAACAGGAGTTCTTGCTGGCAAAAATAAACATGATTAACCTTGAAACATGTTTCCTGTCCTTTGGAAAGTGGTCTAGAGGCAGATGAGATGAGGGGAAGGGTTGGCTGGTCTTATTTATCCATAGATTTATCTAAAAGTGTCTTATTCTCTATGTGTCTTAACACATAACACAATGAACGTTATAAGTCTATCCCAATAAGACTAAGACATTTCTTTATGTACACATTTTATTTATTTTAGATTTTTAAGTTAATATATAACAGACATACATAATTTGGGGGTAAACATTATAATTGGATAATCCTATCTAATGCATAAAGACACCAAATCAGAATAACTGGGGTATCTAGTACCGTAACTATTTAATGTTAGTATTTAAATAGTAAAACCTTTGTACACACATACGGCTAAGATGTGAGTTTTGACTTGTTTACACTTGATGGTCACGACTTAACATTAATAGAAAGTGAGAATCAAGTAAAAAATGAAAGTGAGTGATATTTAAATGGATTTTGTGAGAAGACAATTTGTTAGCCATATCATTCTAACCATATATATTCCCCTCACCCACCTTATTCTCCAGGCTTCAGATACCAAACACATATATGAGAAATATGTTAATTAAGAAGTGCCTAAGAAATGTCGTAAAAGCCAATCAAGGAGAATTATACAGTTATAAAACTTTTCATAATAATTTATAAAAGTAAATATGAAGGATCAATCAATTTTGAAATCATATAATCTTTAAGTTTTAATGTCAGTGATTTTAAGCTCTTAACTATTTTCATCTGTGCTGTCAAAATATCTCAAAGACATCATCTTCCTAATTCAAGACTTAAGAGTTCGCTTTCGTTTTTTGCTTTTAACCCATTTATTATAAAAGTGTGGTGACTTATAGTTTCCTGAGACTAGCCAATGCAATTTGAGGGGCAATTCTTACCGTGATTGCTGGCCCAGCGAAAGCCAAGCTGAGCAGCATGAGGAATGGAATGGCCTCCTGGGTGGGCTCGATGTACGGCATGCTAAGACTCCGGTCATAGCAGCTGAATCCAGAGTGGACAGGTTTGAAGACATCGGTGAGTTCAAGGAAATAGAGGCTAACTACAGACGATGCCAATATAGGCAGCTGAGAATGAAGAACACAGAAGGTCAAGTCATTCTTATACACAGTCCTGGATCAGGACATCTTGAAGCAGAAAGCATATGGCTTCCTCCCCTCCTCTAACTCCTCCCCTCTGCTTCCAGAGTTAAAAATTATTCATAAATATTTTTACTGGTACCAGACCTAGATCTCCAATGCACACACCCCTGTCTCAGCCTGCTTGGAGCCTGTAGCACCCCTCACTTTCTGACTGCTACTCCCCTCCACCCGTGCATTTCTGCACTGCACTCTGAGGGGCTTTGTAAAAGTATTTCAGATCACACCACTGCCTACCTCGACCGCGCTAGAGCTTCCCACTTTACTAGAATAAAATCTAAATGCCGCACCATGGATGCAGGCTTCTGCACGCTTTGGCTCTTGCTTTGGTTGCTTTTTCTTCTTGTACCACATTCTTAGCACTCCATAACAATCCACTTGGTCTTCACTCTTTTCTACTAAAGACACAGTTGGTCTTTGCCTAGGTTCCTCTGTATTTGCTGTTCTTTCTTCCTTTTATGTTCTTTCCCTGGTTACTTACACCACTACCTTCCTGCACCCAGTATCTAAGGGAGCCCTTGATCCATCCTTCGCTCTCTACTTTATCTTCTTGCTTGACTCTTTCATGTTATTTATCATTAACTTAAGTTATTTTGCCAATTTACTACTTTATTTATTTATTTTTCATCTCCGTGCTAATCTCCCCCTGAAATATATGCTCCTGAAGTGAGAGTCCTCACTGAATAGAACTGTCCCTAGCCCATGGTAGGCATGCACTATGTCATTTCATAATTTAATGAAGCAATGAATACTTGTTGAATAAACCTTAGTTTATTACAATAACTAGATTAGAATTATCCAAATTTAGTCAATAAAAATACAGCTCACTCAGTGAAATGAAAATTTCAGATAGTAATGAATAATTTTTAGTGAGTCTTCTGTGCAACATTTGGAATATATTTATACTAAAAATTGTTCATTGTCCAAAATTCTTACTTCACTGGGTGTCAATTGTTTGTCTGGTCACTCTACACTGAGTACAATGTACTTTCTAGATTTAGTGTAGACTTTGTGGGTTCAAGTATTCATTCATTCAACCTATAATATGCCAGGCACTATGTAGGTGCTAGCTAAAATACAGTAAGCAAGACATGGGCTTGGTCATCAAAGAACATAAGCTTGAGGCTGGGTGCAGTGGTTCATGCCTGAAATCATAGCATTCTGGGAGACCTATGCTGGAAGATTTTCTGAGTTCAGGTGTCCAAGACTAGCCTGAGCAACAGTGAGATTTTGACTCTACTAAAAATAGAAAAACTAGCTGGTTGTAGTGCCTCACACCTGTAATCCTAGCATTCTTGGAGACTGAGGTGGGTGGATCGCTTTAGCTCAGGAGTTTGAGAGCAGCCTAAGTAAGAGCAAGACCCATCTCTACTAAAAGTAGAAAAACTAGCCAGGTTTTGTAGCAGGTGCCTGTCATTCCAGCTACTTGGGAGGCTGAGGTAAGAGGATCATTTGAGCCCAAGAGTTAGAGGTTACTGTGTACTATGATGACATGGCACTGTAGCATGGGCAACAGAGTGAGACTCTGTCTCAAAATAAATAAATAAATAAATAAATGGAACATAAGCTTAATGAGAGATTTGCGCTTAGCTAAAGAGAAAATATTTCTGATATTTGCCCAATGCCAGACCTTTCAAAATCTGAACATTTAGACTTATATAATACCGAAAGAATTGTCCGATGTTAAATCTTTGTTACTTATGAAGGACACAATATTTATTTAAGCAAATGGGAAAGGTTATTATTAAGATGTTATTAACCACCAGTGATTTCTGGTTGTTTGGTTTTAAAAAAATAAATTTACAAGACAGCATTATGCTTTCTATTCCCAAGCGGTCTTTCTTTGTAATGAGGTAAGAGTTAGGTTTATTGGGAAAACTGGTAATATACAGTAAGTAATCTGGCATCGCTTTTCTGTTTTTCAGATGGATGCTTTTCAGAGAACAAAAAGTACATCAGAAACATATTTTTCTTGTCCACAATCATTTGATCACTTTGAATATCTGATCATTCCTCCTCACTATTCTCTCTCCTGCAAGGGTAGTGACTTCCTGTCTTGTTGAGTAAATCAGCACTTCCTGGTGCATGTGTGTGATTGAAATTTCTTTCTTTCTTTTCTTTCTTTTTTTTTTTTTATTGTTGAGGATACAGAGAACCAGGTTACACTGATTGCATTTGTTAGGTAAAGTGTCTCTAATAATTGTGTCCTGCACCCAAGAGGCGTGTCACACACTGTGATCCCTATTTCCTTCTTCCCCTCCCCCATCCCCCACCCCCCTCCATGTACTAGGTCATCAATTGTCCTCACATCAGAATTGAGCAGATTGGATTCTTGTTAGGTAAGTTCCTCTTATAATTGTGTCCTGCACCCAAGAGGTGTGTCACACCCCTATCCCCACTTCCTTCTTTCCCCTCTCCATCCCCCGCCCCCATCATGTACTAGGTCATCAATTGTCCTCACATCAGAATAGAGCAGATTGGATTCTTGCTTCTCCATTCTTGTGATGCTTTACTAAGAAGAATGTGTTTCAACTCCATCCAGGTTAAGGATATACAGTCTCCATCTTTTTTAGTGGCTGAATAGTATTTCATAGTATACACATAAATAGTATTCCATGGTATACATATACCACAGCTTGTTAATCCATTCCTGGGTTGGTGGGCATTTACACAGTTTGGTGATTGTAAATTGAGCTGTGATAAACAATCTAGTGCAAATGTCCTTATGATAAAAGGATTTTTTTTTCCTTCTGGGCAGATGCCCAGTAATGGGATGGCAGGATCAAATGGGAAGTCTAATTTGAGTTTTTGAGGATTCTCCATAGCTCCTTCCAAAAAGGCTGCATTAGTCTGTAGTCCCACCAGCAGTGTAAAAGTGTTCCCTTCTCTCCACATCCACGCCAGCATCCGCACCTTTGAGATTTTGTTATGTGGGCCGTTCTTACTGGAGTTAGGTGATATCTTAGGGTGGTTTTGATTTGCATTTCTCTGATAATTAGGGACAATGAGCATTTTTTCATATGTTTGTTAGTCATTCATCTGTCTTTTTAGAGAAGGTTCTGTTCCACTTATATCTACATAAACATACACTATTTTGGTTTTAATTTTAAAAACCCTTTCTAATGCACTTAATTATGAGTCAGGAAATTTTTGTTTTAGAAATTTTAATTAATTTGATTCATTAATTTTTAACTAATTTAAATTAAAACTTTCTACATGACATAAGATAGGTGCTGTCATCCTCATTTTGCAGATAGATAAGCTGTTACCTGTAGGAAGTAGTAAAGGTAGTTATAATGTCTTTTATCTTGACTGCTACTCCATGTTTTCTTTCCAAAAATTGGAATAGAGAGTTAAGATAATGGAATAAACTAGCATTGATTTATGGGGGTACCATTTAGCTCAAGGTTAACTAAGGGTTTCTATTTGCTATTCTTTAGTTAAAAATACATATTACAGCTCAATTCACAATTGATAAGATGTGAAAGCAACCCAAGTGTTCATCAACTCCCAGATGGATTAAAAAACTGTGGTATATGTATACCATGGAATACTATTCAGCCTTAAAAAAGGATGGCGATTTTACATCTTTTGTATTAATCTGGATGGAGCTGAAGCACACTCTTCTCAGTAAAAATCAGAAGAATGGAAAAGAAAATATCTGATGCACTCAATACTAACATTAAACTAATATATAAACAAACACATGCTTAGGAAAACACATGTATGTTCAAAAGAAGGGGAGGAGGCAACAGAGAGAGAGAGGAAGGAGGAGGAGGATTGGCAAGTTCTCCCCTAATGTGCACAATGTAAGATTATACTGCATAGTCCCTGCGTGAGGGACTCAACTATTACTTGAATTTTACCTTAGAATAAAAACGATGTAAACATTTGTTCCCTCATGTTAAATTGAAATAAAAAAAAATAAAACACACAAAAAAATTCACATCACTTCATGCAAGTAGTGTCTTAAATGTATGGTTTCTGTAACTCAGAAGGGTCTCCTATATTACTGTTAATATAAAACATTTTATTTTTAGATCAATTTTATGATTCACTTTCTTTTCTGTTTCTTGGGTACCTTTTTGGGTCTTCTGTGTGGATTTTGCAAATGGCAACCTGACTGTGATTTTTAATACCCACTATAAATAAGACCTGATCATCTTATTTTTAAATGCTGATGTCCCAGTAAAGTGAATTTAATTTATTGTGCAGAAAGTGAGTAAAATTTTAATTGCTGAATTTTGTGTCTGATTATTTTATCATCTGCTTAACCATGCCACCTAGGAGTCAGACAACTGTGCTATTTGTGCATGTGTATGTGTCCATGTGTGTGTCCATGTGTGTGTGTCCACATGTGTGTGTATAAATAAGGAATGACACAGAATTTTTCAACTGTAGCAAACCCAATGGATCATATTTTTTCAAGGCAAGTTCAAGTTTCTAATACTACTTATCAGTTCTTTCACTTGCTAATACCAGTGTGACCTTGGAGATGTTTTTCCTATTTTCTTATGTATGAAGTAGGGACATTTGATAGTACCCATTGTTACAGGACAGTTGAAAGTAGAAAATGAGGTATTCCAAATAAAATTGAACAATATATGGAAAAAAGAGTAGTTTATAAATGTTAGAAAGTATTGTTATTAACTATTAACAATAATATACTCATCAAATAGCATGTTCCTCAGGGTACTTACCACATAAGACCTTTCTCATAAGGCCTTACTTGATGATAGTTTTGTAGAATACTAGGAATTTAATTTCCTAGTATTTCTTTCCAAGAAATTTTTATACACTACTTTTTATTGTCTCCTACAAATTAGGTCTAGTTTTTTTCTATGTCTTCCAAATTAAAATCTCCTTAAAACAGGGCCTAATAGTAACTCATTTTTAAATTGCCTCCAATGATATATATTAAATATATA